AAGTAATGAAGCAAATGTCCTTACAGCCAAATTTCTGAGAAGCGACTGCTGACTCTGCTGGGCGGGTTTCCATGCCCACACCCCTCCCCAGGTACCTTGGCCCTCGGGTCCAGGCTCGTTCCTCCCGGGGGCAGCCCTGGGCAGACAGGCTGTGTTAGTGGCAGCACAGAGCACTTTGAGGGGTGTTTCACCAGGGTCCCTGCCCCTGCCCCCAACCATGTTCTCACCTACACACCGTAAGAAAAACTCTGAATAAAAAATAAAAATAAAATAAAGATAAGATAAAATACCATGGGAACATTCAGATTGATAGCTATGTTACAGAAAAATAATCTGTACTTAATCCATATTTTAGGATTCATTTTTTAAGAAGATTGACATACAGTATTTAAAATGTTTCAGCTTACGTTGCAATTCTGTGGAGCACACAGTATTATTATTACAATTGAGTAATTACTGGTATTTTCAGAAGTTATGGCATACCAGGTGAATGCTTACTAACTTAATTGGTCAGCAGTTTGTATTTGTATTTCTAATGAAATTGTGCTTTTCAAAATAAACCAAGTAATTTATCTGTATTTAATTTGGGTGATTTCAAAAATAAATAGAAAAAAATTTTTAAACAGTTTCTATACATCCCTATTTTATATATATATTTATATATATATATATATTTATATTTTATATATTTTATAATTTATATATATATATTTATACACACACACACATTTTTGAACTATAGAAACTGCTTGTTGGACAACAATGGTAAAGTGACAGTTGAGCATCATGTGAGTTTATTTTCCAGGCTCAGGCTTTGAGCTAATGAAAACCATGTTGAATCTGCCCAGTTTGGGGAAGGAAGAAACCAGATCTCGTCACAGCTCTGCTATCGCTGAATTATCAGTGCCCTTAGGGGTATCTGAGCCTCTAGGAACCTTTGTTGGTCTATAAACCTTTTTCAATAGAAGAGGGGATCTTATAAACATGTAGTAATGTTGAAGTTTCTGAATATTTTTTATTTTTCGAATTTTTTTCAGGTGTAACTTTAGAGATAAGGAAATGGACTTTGCGGGACCTCTGGTTTGAGGGCAGGGTCCCTAATGTTAAATCTATTTGGTTTAATTTAGTGGCTACAATACTTGCTATACAAGTAGGGGGTTCTAGACCCAAGCCTGCCCTGTGACTTGCTGGGCAGTCCTCTTAAGTCAGTCACTTCTCCTTTACCAGCTTTCAGTTTCTAACTAAAATAAGAGCTGAGACCAGTGACTGCGAATGGTTCACAGTGCTCTGTGGAGCATCAGTGCTGCTGTCTAAACCTGAGCTTCTGACTCGTCTCACCCAAGGTGAGCGAGAAAGGGCTGAGTGTGGTCTCAGCATTTCATCATCCATTAATGAGACCAAGGCCTGCATCCCACCACCCTGAAGATGTCTTGCACTGATCTTGAGAGGAACAATGTGAGATTCCAAATGAACAAGTCCGAGTTGGGGGAAGGCCTTCCTGTGTGAAGGGGAGCAGAGCATAACATTGCGATCCTGTACGTGGCCGTGGCTAGAGTCACTGCAAACTGGGTGTCCACAGCACCCTGGCGACGCTGGACTAGCTGAGTGTGGCAGCTGAGGGTCCTCACCCTCTGGCCAGATGGTGTTCCCAACAGTGCCGATCTTAGGACAGAAATGACATTATGTATTTTGTTTGAGTGGCCTGTCTTCAGCAACCTGTGTCAAGACTGTCTGCCATTAGGACTTACCACAGAGTGAAGAGGGCTGGCTCTGGACTGGGGGCCGGGTGAATTCCGCCACACTGCGGTCCTGCCCCTTGCCAGCCCCATCACCTTGGGTCAGGACTTAACTTTCCTGGAGTTCCTTTCCCCTCTGGAACAGAGGGGTCAGAGCACCAGGCACCCGGCAGGACTCTTATGAGGGTCCCTTGAGATGGCACGTGTGAAGTGTTTGAGGCTGGACCCAAACCACAGTGACCCTGAATTAATTTAGCTGTTAAAATCTCTTTTAGGCCCATTCGACCTTACCCTAAGTTACTATAATATTTTTTTTAATTTTAGGCCCCTGTTTCAAATAAAGATCTCTTGTCTAAATGGGACGGTTTAGCCTTCAATAAAGTTCTAAATTAAGGTTGTTTACAAGAAAATGATATCTTGGAAAAGAATCTAAAAAAAAATGTATGTACAACTGAATCACTTTGCTGTACACCTGAAACTAACACAACATTGTAAATCAACTATACTTCAATTCAAAAAAATATTTTTAAAGAAAATTATATCTGGTTTTTGTTCTCTTGTAGTCCCCAAACACGCTTTTTTAAAAAAATGAAAAAAGTTTTCATACACTGGTGCATTTTTTTAAAGTTAATTAAATTATAAGACAAACTAGCCTTTGAGATTGCTCTACAGCGGGAGTTGTCAAGCTTTTTTTGCAAAGGCCCAGATAGTAAACATTGAAGGCTTTCCAACCATGCAGTCTCTGCTGCAACCGCTTGGCTCTGGACTCGACTGAGAGCGGCCCGGGACAAGAACACAGGGAGGCGGGCGCGCCGTGTCGCCAGGTAACTGCACTTTGGTCATGGAAGGGGAGCTTCACGTAGTCTCCATGTGTCATGAGATATTATTATTATTTTGCTTTTTTCCCCAAACAATTAAAAATATAAAAACCACAGGTAGAGGGGCCCTGTGGCCCCCAGTGCTGTGGACTGGCAGCCCATGCTCTACAAGAATAAAGGTGTGGAAGGAGGTGTGGGCGCATCCACCAAGGGGCAGGTGTGCCTTCTTTTATTGCCCTTTGTTTTATTCTGCTTCGCAAATACTGCTTTTTTTTTTTACAAATTGAAGGTTGGTGGCAACCCCACATCACGTAAGTCTGTCGACGCCATTTTTCCAACGGCAGTTGCTTACTCTGTGTCTCTGTGTCACATTTTGGTAATTCTTGCAATATTTCAAATGTTGCTATTAGTATGTTTGCTGAGGTGATCTGTGATGTCACTGTTGTCATTATTTTAGGGCACCGTGAACCATGCCCATACAGGACAACAAACTTAATAAACATCGTGTGTGTTGTGACTGCTCCACCTGCCGGCTGCTCGCCTGTCTCTCTCCCTCTCCTCGGGCCTACTTCCTGAGACACAACAATGTTGAAATTAGGCCACTTAACATCCCTCCGGTGACCTCTAAGTGTTCAAGCGAGGAGTCCCACATCTCTCCCTTTAAATCAAAAGCCAGAAGTGATTACGCTTAGTGAGGAAGGCACGTGAAAGCTGAGACAGACTGAAAGCGAGGCCTCTGGCACCAGACAGCTGGTCAAGATGTGAGTGCAAAGGAAAAGTTCTTGAAGGAAATTAAAAATGCTGCTCCAGTGAACACAGAAATGATAAGAGAGTGAACCAGCTTCACCGCTGAGATGGAGAAGGTTTTAGTGGTCTGGATGGAAGAGCAAACCAGCCACAACATCCCCTTAGGCCAAAGCCTCGCCCAGAGCCAGACCCTAACTCTCTTCAGTTCTTTGAAGGCTGAGAGAGGTGAGGGAGCCACATGAGGAAAGTGTGAAGCCAGCAGAGGTGGGTACATGAGGCTAAAGGGAAGAAGTCATCTTCAGAACATCTCGGGGCAGGTGAAGTAGCAGGTGCAGATGCAGAAGCTACAGCAAGTTCTCCAGAAGATCCGGCTCAGATAATTCATGGAGGTGCTGCGCCAAGCAGCAGATTTTCGGTGTAGACAGAACAGCCTTGTTTCGGAAGGACATGCCATATGGGACTTTCCCAGCTGGAGGGGAGAAGTCCTTGCCTGGCTTCAAAGCTCAAAGGACAGGCTGACTCTCTCGTTAGGGGCTAAAGCAGCTGGTGACTTTGAGGTGAAGCCAATGCTCATTTACCATTTCAAAAATCCTAGGGCCCTTAAGAATGATGCTTTTAAAAAAAAAATGCCAAATCTACTCTGCCTGTGTTCTGTAAATGAAACGACAAAGTCTGGATGATAGCACATCTGTTTACAATATGGTTTACTGACCATCTTAAGCCCACTGTTGAGACCTACTATCCAGAAAAAAGCTTCTTTTCAAAATATGACTGCTCGCCGACAACGCACCTGCCACCCAAGAGCTCTGCTGGAGAAGGACAGTGAGAGTCGCCGTGTTCCCACACCTGCTGACACAACAGTCCTTCTGAGGCCCATGGGCCAAGGAGTAATTCTGACTTTCTGGTCTTATTATTTAAGAAATACGTATGTCATAAGGCTTCATCTGCCATAGACAGGGGTTCCTCTGCTGGATCTGGGCAAAGTCAATGGAAAATCTCCTGGAAAGGGTTCATTGTTCTAGATTGCCATTGAGAACATTCATGATTCATGGGAAGAGGTAAAAAATACCAGTATTAACAGAAGAGATGCTTGGAAATAGTTGACTCCCAGCCCCGACAGGTGGCTCCGAGGGGTTCAAGACTTCCGTGGAGGCAGTGACTGCAGACGTGGTGGGAACAGCAGGAGAACTAGGTTAGCAGAGGGGCCTGAGGATGGGGCCTAATGGCAGCGGTGTTGTGGAGACCTGAATGGATGAGGAGATCTTACGACTGAGTGAAGTGGTACCTTGAGAAGCAGTCTACTCCTGATGAAGATGCTGTGAAAATTGTTGAAGTGACAGCAAAGAATTTAGAGCATATAAACTGAGTGGATCAAGCAGTGGCAGGTTTGGGAGGACTGACTCCAATTTTGAGGCTATCAGATGATGGTTAGCACTTTTTAGCAATAAAGTATTTTTTAATTAAGATATGTACTTTTTTTTAGATATAATGCTACTGCACACTAAACAAACTAAAATATAGTGTAAAAACATAACTTTTACATGCACTGGGAGACCAAAAACTTCATGTGACTTGCTTTATTGGGGTGATCTGGAACCCACAATAGGTCCACAGTATGCCAGTATAAAATACATTAGGAAACCACACTGGAAATTTAGTTTAAAACAATTTTCCATAAAATAGAATTTTGTTAATCTTGAGCTGAGTTTCATTTTCTTGATATGAAAAATAACTTACATTGGAGATAATTTCATGATAATATTAAATAGCAAGACAAAATCTTTAAAGAATTTTATGAAGTGGAGATTTTTGAGTGAATAATTATGTTGCTTTTTCTAAACTTCTTCTAAGAGATGAATAATGAGCAAAATTGTTGCAGTTTATCTGTAGGTGAATGGTTTAAACATGGGGAATATTTAAAAATTTAAAACAAAAATTCACACTTTTATTTCTGAAAGGTGAATCATTTCAACATTATCAAATATTGCAATATATTCTTAATATTTGTAGTACAAGGAAAAAGTTAAATATAATTTATATAAATAGATAGAGAAATAGCAATAACAATATTACAGCTGATAACTCAATATTTAAAATATTCTACCTAACTGTTGTGCACAGTAGTTAAACACTACCGTATAGCCTTATTTTTCTTCCAACTACAAGTCATTTAAAGATAAGTATTTAAATAAAATACAGTGCCAAGACACATTTAATGGACACGTATCCAAAGCTTTTAGATGGCCATTTTCATCCAGTTTTAATTTTAAAATATATCACATGAGAGCTACATTCTTTTCATAGGTACGTGTTTAGTAATATCGGAAAAACTGCCTTTTCTGGAAAAAACCTTCCAATTAATATGGTGAAGGTACAGACAAGATGGTTGAAACCTGACATAGACATTAGAGTTTCCAGCAAAAATAAATTAAAACAAAGAGAAAATGCTAAAACCATCTTTAATGTTTTCAGAACATCAAGCTCGTCATTTTAAAAGCGTTGAATACTGGGTATAGGGAAAGCTGAAAAACATTTTCTTTTTATTAAAAGGCATGATATAGTCCTTTAAAATGTCCTTTATAATATATATGTGCACTCCGTATCTGGTCAAAAAGTCATGCAGTTTCACTAAAACGTGAATGTGTACCTCTTTCATAACTGTTGGGTGGCTTTTATAAAAGTAAAGCTGTTTCCTTAGGAAAAAAAAAAACTTCTGCCAATTGGAACATCTTCATTCTTGGGGGCGGGGAGGGGTGGGGAAGATTTTTCCTCTGAAAATAATGAAGTTCGGTCCCTGGCTCACTGAACATTCACTAACTTACTCAAATGAAAACAAATTACTATGCTTCTGGAAACTAGTTGTTTTCACTTGCACATCCTGAAATAGCATCTGGAAACCATCACCAAAATGTTAAGATTCACACGCGAGCGTTGGTGAACAGAACTGCACCTGCTGCGTCCCTTCCACCCCCGCTAAACGCCACCGTCCGGAGGGACAGATGAGTGACGGCATTCTTCCATCTTGTTACATCATCAGGTGTCCTCTTTTGCCAACCATACAGTCACAGCTGCTTGAGTTTATATTTAAACTCAATGTCGTTTAACGGTGGCAAAATGCCCAAGCCGGCACGGGACTGGTCCAAAGGGGGACATTTAACTTGGCTCTCCACAAGCTCCAGTTCAAAATAGGAAAGCATCAGAATCAAAAATTGCTTGATTTCCTGGACAGCAAATAATCTTCCAGGACATATTGTAGCCCCTGACCCAAAGGGCATGTAGTAATATTTTAACTTGAGTCCGTTACTATAGAACGTGGTCTTTGTCTTCCCGTTTTCATCAAGATAGCGATCATATTTAAAAGTCTGCAGCAAAGATACAGAGAAAATAAATTTATAAGCTAATTTTAAAGGAATTTATCTTTTTCTTAACCTGGAAGCTCCAAAGAGTAATTTTCTTTTTTTTAATACAGTCTTTTCGTAATTTAGCAAATACCCCACCTTGAATCAGAAATTGATGAGGAAGGAACTTAAGGAGAACTGATGGGGATGGGAAAGCTTTATGCGTCCCGTCCTGCCTGGGTGACTAGTTCCTCCCTCTGATTGGCAGAACTAGACAGAAGGATTCAGATCAGAAACGAGAGGAGTCAGTACACCAGCCTCTAATTTCCTGGCTTTGGGAGCAGAATCTTTTTAGGAAGAAGAGCAGCAGCAATGGTGTTATCACAATTGCAGATATAATCTAGTAGAGATTATGTGATAACAAACACCAGGAGTAAAGATTAAAAAATCAAGCCATCGTCCAAATTTTCCAAAACATGAATTTTTCACCTAATAAAGGAGGCAATCCTGTGGTTTCAATGATCAAATCAATTCTGTGGTGGTAAATTTCCTCTCTATTTCAATATGGGTCGATGTCACCTGGATACTGAGCTTTGATGAACAGTCACTTACCAAAGGGTCTGGGTAGATTTCTGGATCTAAATGCATTAACTGCGGGTAAAGAGCTATGATGTCATCTTTGCGGATGTTGTAGGAACCGTCCTGGAGGTGCAGAGTGAAACCTTCCTTAGCTGTCCGGATGTTGAGGGACGCACTGGAAAGCCTCAGAGACTCCTTGATGATACTGTCTAAAGATTTTTAAAGGAAGGAAGGAGGCGAGGGAGGAAGAAGAGAGAAGAAAGTATTTAAAGGCCACATAATGCAGAGTCTGACACATTTCTAGCAGCCTCTAACACAAAGCTGAGCAGACTACGGGAAGCTGGCCAGATAAAAATTTCCCAGACTCTTTTCTGTGACCATGACGCTGTGATCAAGATTCAGTTATATCTTAATGTATTTTTAATCTGATAATCTGAGTTAAGAATCTTCTGATAAAGACAGAATCTTCTTTGTCATCAATGGGAACTAGACTTCCAACATTTTAAGGAAAGATAATCTTGTTTTGACATGATGCTAGACATCAAATATGACTGGGAAAACTCAGATATGTGAATTATTCAAAGTTTATCACTTTCGAGTTTATCACTCCATATACTACTAACACTTTTATTTAGAAATAGTTTTCCAGATGTTTAATGCAGCTCCACTTCGGGGTTTGCAAGAACCCATTTTTATCATTACGATCTCTGGTGTAAGATAATTCCCTGCATTCTGGTAGGGACCTAAAGGCACAAAAGGAACATGCTGACAAAAGCTAAAATATAAACGAGAAGTTGCTTCCTGACCTTCCAGCCTCCGTCCTTTTAACTGTCATGGTTTAAGTGCTCAGCACATGATTGTGTGTAAAAGCATGGCACTTCAGCACCTTTTTCACAAATGAGAAAATAAGTCCCCCAAAAGTGAAGGGACATGTCCGTGGTCTCCAGGGCAGGGCAGCGCCCCCCAGTGGAACCTGTGCCTCTTGCCTCCTGGTCCCTCCCACTAGGACACACTGCCCCTGAAAGCACGTGTTGGCTTCTTCCCTCTAGAGAAACTTCACAAAAACAAAAAGGGAACCCTTTCTTACTATATAAACAGAGCACTTCAGGATTTCTATAAAATACAGAGAAGCAAATCATTTTTAAATGTAATAACCTTCCGATCACCCCACCCACGCAGCTAATTGCGGTTTCACGATGGTACCTTTCCCCTTTTATTTCATGAAAGTGTGCTCCCATTAACGATAGAGTTAGTGGCAAGCGCAGGAAGGAAGCAGGCAGCGCGGGGTACTGCGGAGAGGTGGCTGAGCATATCAGTCAAGCGTCCCACATTAACGCTGCCATTGCTTCCACCATTCCATCCCAGGCAGGAACCTAACCTCGTAACAAGCAGTAACCAGTTTCCTCCCTTGTTATACAGAGATGGTCATCGTCCCGGGTCCCAGGACAGCTGGAGGGTCACAAGACAACACTCCTAGTATAATGCCTACAACAGGTAAGTGCAAGGCATGTACTGAGGATTCCTATGGATGGGACGCAGTCAGTGAGACGGAACACAGCCAACACACCTAGCACCGGCATGTCATCCAGCTGTGCTTGATTCAGATAAACCGGATTGCCTTCTAAGCTAACTTTTTGATCAGCGTTCTCTAGTGTCTTGTTTATTTCTTCAGTAGCTGCTTTCATGGCTTCAGGGTTCCTGTTAAAGTTTAAGAAAAAAAAATGTACAGAAAATAAGTTCTTTTCTCTACCAAAAGGCCTGCATTTTCCCCTTCTTTTAACTAGACAGTCAGGATCCGCAGAAGTTGGGGAAGGGGCGCTCCTGTTTATTTTTCACTCTATTTTGTAGTTGTGTTTAAGTCCATGGATATTAGCAAGAATCGTTGCCTTCACAGGGTCTTGCTAAATAGAAGTAAGACTTTGGCCAGACTTTTAAATAAATGATTCTATTAAGGATTAAATTAGTCAAATGCATGGCAATGGAGAAGGAAAATTGCATTTAAAATAACAATTCTGTAGTACTGGCTAAATTGACAAAGGAAATTTAAATGTACTCTTAAAATCCACACCAGGATGTCACGAAGCACAGCTTTTCTATTTATATGATAATTGTTTGTTCTAACACTTTGACTTGTGACATGAATGCGACTTCATTTCAGTGCCTTATGTGTACCGGGTCCTCAGGGCCATGGTGATGTAACCTGTAACACATCACAGTAAATTGAGTCTCAGAAACGTTTGACTGGTAAGTGTCTATGTGACTGTCATACAGTGGCTGCTGTCGCCTACATGGTATAAAATCAGTGCTGTAACCTTGCTGTACATATATGACTTTATTCCAGACGGAGCTTTCTTAAGCAAAAACTTTGGAAGACATTTAACATTTGTGACAGATTTGTAATGATTGTTTGTACCTAAAATTCTTTAAAAATATTTTTTATATTAAAGACGCAAAGTTACCAGCCATCGATGGAACCTTGGCATTCCCAATCCTATGGAATAGTAACTTTGTGTCTATGGGATGCTAAACACCCAACTCAACTGAACTAAGAGCCTTTTGAAGGTCAAATTCCCCGAAGATTAACATTTGGGAAAGAAATCACGTTATGCAAAATATACGTTGCATGTAGGTTTTTTTGGTATACACACTTTTCAAAGGCAAAACCAGGCTAAATTCCATCAATAATAATGTATTATGACGGATTCGTAGCTATCAGAGGTGGTCAAATAGACAGGAATTACTAGTCGAGTGAAAACAGTCGATGCACCAGGTACAGGTACTGTCCTTCTCACGGGACACCAGTAATCACGCAAGTGTATTTTTATGATTATTAAGACCAAATTTGTGGACGTAAGGAGGCGTCATGAAGAACAACCTGGGGTTAAGAGCGAGGGCTCTGGGTGCAGGCAGCCTGCACTGACCCTGGACCAACACAAGCCTCTCCCTGGGGTGTCTCTGCTGCCGTAAGATGCATTTACCAGTCAGAGATGCTCATGTTTTTGGAGGATTGGATGAGCCAATACACTTACAAGAGTGAGTGCCACCTTCTTGATTAACAGCATGAGAAGGTACTGCAAGTCTTTTTTTTTTTTTAAGTTAAAATAGTTGAACTTCTGCTTTCAACCAACATAAACACATGACGAAGTCGCTAATTACCTAATCATCTGAAATAAGCTCCAGAAGGTCGCCGGAATCGTGTTTGCTTGCGACGCCCAGAGGACGGCGAGGAGCGACTTGGCCTTCTCCGCGTCGTCCCGGGTGGAGAGCGTGTCATTCAGAAACCTGACCAGTTCCGAGATGTGGTCTCTCCTCCTGAGTTTCTGCAGCCTCAAGCCCTCCGCCAGTTTCTCCCGGGCGTGGCGTCCCGTCTTGAACACGTGAATGGGGAAGCCTGCTACCAGGGCCGGGAAGATTTTGTCAAACTGCTTGAAGTTGTCGAGGGTATTTAGAATAAGTGCTTTTTGGGCATCCTGCCCTGTAAGATCTCTGCCAAAGAGCGTGAAATACCCAGCTTCGAACATCACTCGGTAGCAGAAGGAATACATCCCCTCCGTCGCCCAGGCCGCCGCCTTGGGTTCGGGGACCAGCCGGGCTCTCAGGACAAGCTGGAGGTTCTCCATCATGGTTTCTGTGAGGGAGCCCAAGGCCTCGCCCTGCAGGGTTTTGATGATGGTTTTACTTATGTTGTCTGTGGTGTTTCCATCACTCGGGTCAATGCTTCTGTGCCCAAATGCCTGACGGTAAACGAACGTGTGAAAAAATAAAGTAAGCCTGACTCAAGACTCATAAATGGCTGAAACACAGATCAGATGCTTTCATAACTGTCTCCTTGATACCAAAAAAAAAGGGGGTGGGGGAATCGGCCTTCCCACATACAATTTCATAGCACTTTACAAATAAATGGCCCAATCATGCTCTTCAAGGCCAAGTTTAAGTCCCAGGTGTTTGGTGAAACTTCCCTCACAGCCACTCTAGTCTTCTGTATCTTATTTTTCTCTTGTATCTGCATTTATTTGCACACGAATTTGGTTCTAATCAAGAATGTTTCTAGATCATTAGGTCTCCTTTATATTCTATGTACATGTATTTTAACCAGACTTTAAGCTACTTAGTAGCAGAAACCATGTCTAATATTTCTTTGCAGAGACTAAGTGAATATGAATTCACTGTTTCCTCTGTACAAGAGACTCTTAGATCTCATCTAAGTGATGCCAAAATGTCAATTCCTTCACGAAATCAAACAATTGTTCAATGTTAAGTTTCCAGCAGCTGCGTGTGCCCTGGGGATTGCGTAGAAATCACTCACATGTGTGAGTTTGTACCAGTCTTATATCTATTTTGGCTTTTTCAAAAGATTAGTTCCAAAAAAGTATGTCTAATTTGATTTATTGCGTTTGTAAGAATCTCCCTGTGAGGGTAACCCTCTTTAACATGTCTCACTTCAAATTTAAGTGCATCAGAATGATTAAATAGATTGACAGGAAGAACATAAACAGACCAAAGGCTTATCAATGCAAAGCTGGTTACCTTTGCAGAAGCAGTGAAGTGAAATTTTTTCCAGTCTAAGTACTTTCCATGGCACAACACCTTGTGGTACGACAAGGGGTTGGTGATAAAGTGAACGTAGTTTCCCATGAGTTTGCAGGTGAACACATGACCGTGTTTCCTCTGATTGGCTCTGAGGAACTCGAGGGGGTTGGCCCCAAACTGCAGCGCGCAGCCCAGGTACGGGACCCACCCATTCTCCAGAGGCGGTTCACCCACTTGCCTGTAAGACACAGATGGTTGCTACGGAAAGCTGCACATTGCTCTTGATTTATACCAGGCTTTAAATATTTCACCAGCAACTTTGAAGTTCAAAGTTCTACAGGGTATAGGTACTTTTTCGTTGTTGGTGGGGGACCTTGCTCCCTACTAAAATAATGAGTTATATTAACGTGAGATACTGGTGGAAATAACTAACCCCATCCATCCATCCATCCATCCACGCACGCCTTCAGCAGACACTTACCGGATGTCTAATCTGCGCTCCGCACTCTTCCCAGTGACGAGGGTGAAAGGGACTAAGGGGCCAGCGAGGCTTTCCCTCTCAGTGTAGAGAGGACACCACGTTCTAGTGTTTATGTTTTTTCTAAGCATCATTTGCCTAAGTCTCTCCAAATGTTTCATTTGATTGTTTTCTCTAAAGATACAGGATACTGAATAACAGAAAGGATTGCAGAATTGAAGTTTTCAATATCTTCCTAGTTGAAACCTGCTACTATTCTGTGATAATAGCCGAAGCAGGGTGGGAGGTCGGGGGAGTCTGAGAAATTAGCATACTATAAAGTAAAACCGAGTCAGGTAAGTATTGACAGGATCATCTATTATAATTCAGTGCTCTTTCCTGCTGTTTTAAATGTTTTTATTTAAGAATATAATGTTTATTTTCCAACGTACACCACCATCCCTCTTGGTAGAAGAATATAAAATAATTATTTTTATTTTTATAGTTTGCAGGTAAGTAGTTTGATTAAGACTAGAAACTATCAGGCCTGAAAAAATACCATAAAAGGACAAAAATACCTGTAAAAGGTGGACAATACATAGCAATCTACATGGCTGGAGGTATGCTGTGAGTAATTCTAGCGTCTGCAGACTGACACAGCAGAGAATATTTACATACCACCCCACCCCCAATACTCTGAGCCAATCAGAAGTTAAACTATGGCTCTGTATCTGACTCTACTTGTCTTTCTTGTCTTCTTGAACCAATCATAAGTGATACATACAAACAAAAAGGATGTCCCATACATTTAGCTGTTCCCCAGTTCACCAGGGTGGATGATCATTAATAAGAAACAAAAGAGGAGTAGAATGATGAGTGCAATCGCTGTGCCCCTGTCTAACTCAGGCTGAGTCTGTACAACGCAGGGGACCGAGCTGAAAACAGAATGTGCATATAGTCAGAGCATCTGTTTAATCCCCACGAGAGGAATTTCACATCCCACTCACCATCTGTGTTCTTACTAACCTGGACTCTGTACGTACACATAAACACACAGAGGGCTTATGGAATTTCTGTCAGTTACATTTGGCAAATGTGAACATTTTTACATTACCACTCACCTACCGATTACATATCATTACCGTAAATTTAAATTAAATTTTAAATTGTTTAATTTTAAAAGAATTAAGGAAGAACATTTAAGAAAAATTTAGCACAGAAAACCAAACTTACTGTATAATAATGAAGGTAAAAGAACGTTCAATGAATGGACAGAAAAGCAATTTAAAGATAAAACTTTCCTTACCTTCTCCTCATGCCAAGAATAAGCCATAAACAACAGCACACAGCTGTAACAATCCCCCAGATCAGAGACATGCTCATCATTTTGCAAAACTAATGCCAAAATTCCGAGGAGGAGAGTCTATGGTGAGAAAGGCAAGGATGTCACAACAGAGACTCCAGCTAGACGTTTTATATACGGTGAGATGCCCTACTTAAGTGACCAAAGCAAACAATTAACCATTCTATTAGAAAAAAAAAACAAAAACTGGCCTTGAACTAAGTCCACAGTTGTCAGAAGAGATTCCAAAACAATCAGATACCTGCAATAATTGATCAGGTGAAGGTCCCTCACACATATGTTGACTTAACATTCAGACCTTGGAATGACAGCTAATATTACAAATGTAGTATGTTTATCAAAAGAGTAAACAAATCTGTTCAGGATGAACATACCAAGTAGAGAAGCAAAATATAACAATTTAAAGAAAAATAAATCATTAAGCTAATGATTTCATCTTGCTACCTTTTAAAGAAGAAATCAGTTTGAATGATTGGTGAGTGATACAGCAGTCAAGTTCAAAGGAAAGAGAACTGGGTGAAAGGTTTCTGCTGCTTCATGTTTCAGAGCTTTTACAAAATCATAGATATTTTACTATATATAGTAACATGTTACTTACCTAACATCCTCAAGAAAGAAACCGGTGTAAATTCATCTTCCAAATGAACAGTTTATTTTAAAGCATCAAAACTTTATCAGCCATTTTTTTCTAATTGAAAATGTTTATTAACTTTTCTAGTTGTTAAAGGAATACAATTTCAAATAATTTAAGACCAACTGAAACATACCTTCATTAAAAGTGAAAGCCAGTTCATAATTTATCTCCTCTAGTGTTCCCCACTCAGAAGTAACAACTGTTAACTCTTTGGTATGTAACCTTCCAAACTTTATTTCTATGCACACTTAGTGACTGAGCACCATTTTGTGCCAAGAACTCTTCAAAGAAGGTATTCTGTGGACAAGCATGAATAGGATGGACAGATTCCCTGCTCTAATGAAGACACTATTTCAGTAGAGAGGCAGATAATAATATATGACTCATGAATAAAAGAAAACAAGGTGTGGCGAGCTATTGGGGGGTGAAGGAGACTGAAGATACGGTGACCAGGGAAGGGCTCTCCGAGGAGGTAGGAGGTGACATTTAAGATCTGAATGACAAAAAGAGATTAGCCAAGTAGAAACCAGAAGGAAGAGAAAACTCCAGGAAGAGAGAGCACCAAATGCAGAAGTCCTGAGATAAGGATGAACTTGGGATATCTAAGAACAAGAAGGAGGCAGAATAGATCAGATCAGAGTGAAGAAGGGGAAGCTTGGCTAAGACGTAAGACCAAATGGTTGGCAAGAGCTAATTCAGATATAGGGAGTAGGGAGAGAGACTTTGGAAGGCAACAGATCAAAATGCTGTCTTCAGCTATGCAGACCGCCATGCTGTCAGATCAAGAATTGAACTTGAGCCCAAAGCTAGGGAGAAAAGTCAGGGGTGGAAATAGAAATCTCAAGTCCTCGGCATTTGGGTGGCATTTAAAGCCCACAGACCTTATAAGATCACCTAGGGAGACAACAGAGCCCAAAGAAAGAAAGTGTCCAACATCCAGCCTCAGAGAAGCCCGCTTCTTGAGGAGCATCAGAGAGCAGGTGCAGAGGAGGTGGGCGAGGAAGAACCAGGGCGAAAAGCAGGAAACCACGGTGTCACGGGAAGAGGAGGATGCAGCTGAAGAAAGATGAGAGATTATCCGCATCACATGCTACTTTGAGGCCAAGGAAGATGACAAAGAAATGACCTCTGCACTTGACGACACGGAGGTAGTCGGTGAGTCACACAGAAACACACATGCAAAGATGGGGTTCTAGCAAAGAGTTTGCTTTTTTATAGCACTAAAAAATGGGCACTGTCCTGTGTGTACTTCCAATGACAATACATATATAGGTATTAGATGTGTATCTGCATAGAGATCTTCATTTTTTTTTACATCAACTGCTTTACTTTTTTCCTTTTTTTAATTGAAATATATAGTCCATTTACAATGTGTCAATTTCCGGTGTACAGCATAATGTTTCAGTCATACATATACATGTATATATTCCATATATATTTCTTTTCATATTCTTTTTCATTATAGGTTAGAGCTCTTCATTTTTCATGTGTATATAGTTTTCCACTGACTGAATTTAGTACTATAATTTAATTAACTGATTCCTTACTGGTGGACATTTGGTTCGTTTCCAGCTTTTGACTATAGAATCCATTGCTTTATTTCATGCATTTTTGCCTCCTTAAACACAGACCACGAATGTTTTCTCATGGATGATTCATGATCATAATTAATACCAATCACTGGATGGCAGTGCATAGATTTCTCCATCCATTTAGGGTTTCCCTAGGGCTTTGTGCACTTTACATGTATCTAGACTGGTGGGCTTCTTGAATCACTACTTCTGTTTTCTCCATGATTCCTGAAAAGCTGAACCTTCACGTGTCTGTCAGAGTAGGATGTCACCGTCGGAGAAAACGCCAACCTGATAACCAAACAAGTTAACCCTTTGGTGTCTCCTCTCAGGCAAACAAGTGAAAGCAAACGAACAAACACATGGGAAAAGGGGGGTACCTGGCACCACTAGGAGCTATCTGCAACTTCCTGTGACTCTATAATTTTGTCAAACTTAAAAGGTTTTCAAGATGGTGAAGAAGTACATTCTCAAGTCCAGGGAAACATCCTGGAGCTCGGCCCCCGCCCCACGGCATCTCAGAACACCACAGGCTGCTTCCAAACACAGCCGTGCCCTCCCCTCTGCACCCCGGTCTCCCTCCACACTCACAGCCTCTCTGCTGTACAACGGAAGCCCAGGAAACACACACACCCGCGTATCTGTCGCGGGCTGAGGAAAAGCAGAGGCTTGAGCATCCGTATTTTCCTCATTTACATACGGTTTTTGTCTTCCTCCCGAGGATGTCACTTCTTCCTGCTGTCACGTGTCCTCCCACCGATGTCACACCCCCGATGCGCTGCCTCCGCTCTGGGGAGTGGGGATTCAGACGCCTGTTACAGTTGTCAAAACTATTAATAAGCTGAAAGGAAGTTCCTACAAGGCTTTCTGATGAGTCAAGTGCATAGAGTTTCCTGTGCGGATTTTATGACGTTTCCATGTGTTCAGCACAGCGATCAGAGGGTTGGGAAATAAATACACGCTAGCTGAGTTGGAAAGCTGTTTGGTGCTTTTTTCATTCTCTGCTATGTTTCAAACTGTGAAGTGTCATCCCCCCTCCCCCCCCGCCCCCACACACATGCTAAGCACCTACTGTGTGTCAGGCACTGCGTCAACGCTGGGAACACAGCGGTAAACGAGGAAGCAGTGAGCTCTGGCCTGTGGGGTTTCCACGGCAGCAGGACCTAGAGTCAACGCCCTGATGCAGGAAGGAGTGTGTTTCGTCGCCAGAAGGTCTGGCGTGGAACGAGCTTGTCTAAGCGGTCTGATCCATCCACGGCCTGCCAGTATCCTCTTTACTTGGAGAGCAGCGGCAGGAACACACTGACGTGCAGAGGAAAGACTGTTCTGGACCTCAGAGAATATAGGACCAAGTCCAACACTCCATCCCCGTGAACAGATGTGTGCAAAACACGGAAATGCAAACCAGAGGAACAGAGAGCCGAAAGCACAAGTGAAGCCGTGGCTTATGTAACCTGCTGGTTAAGAAATGCTGCAAGCGGCTTCACAGAGCTCACCCTGCAGGGTGGCCGCCCGAAATAAAATGAGCTGTGAGTATGGTCACACTCCGGAGCCAAAGCAGTTCTCTTCCTGAATTCACAAGTCACACCAACTCAGCGGTGGCACGTGGGTGACCTCGATCGGTACAAAACCTCGCACTTGCCCGTCAGGTCCCTAATTCAGGGCAAGTCAGCGGGAGAACCAAGGGGACTAATCTGGGGCTTTCATAATACGCTCTTTTGTTTATTGAAGTTGGTTTACAATGTTGGGTTAATTGCTGGTGTACAGCATAGGGAGTCAGTCATACATACAGATTCCTTTTCATGTTCTTTTTCACTGCAGGTTACTGCAAGGTGTTGAATCTAGTTCCCTGTGCCGTACAGTAGGACCTTGTTGTTTACCCGTTTTATATATAGTAGTTAGTATCTGCTAATCCCAAACTCCCCAGTTTATCCCTCCACCCCCTGGTAACCATAAGTTTGTTTTCTCTGTCTGTGAGTCTGTTTCTGTTTTGTAAATAAGTTCATCTGTGTCATTTTTTAGATTCCACATATGAATGATATCATATGGTACTTTTGTTTCTCTTTCTGGCTTACTTCACTTAGTATGACAATCTCAAGGTCCATCCGTGTTGCTGCAGATGGCATTATTTTATTCTTTTTATGGCTGAGTAGTATTCCATTGTATAAATATGCCACATCTTCTTTATCCAGTCCTCTGTTGATGGACATTTAGGGTGTTTCCATGTCTTGGCTATTGTAAACAGTAGCTGCTATGAACACTGGGGTGCAGGTGTCTTTTTGAATTAGAGTTTCCTCTGGATCATAATAAGCTCGTAGGAAATATGTCTATTTACATTTGAGCCATGTCTTCAACTCTTTTTCTTAGAAAAAATCAATTATGCTATAGCATATACAGAATATCTGATTCTCAGATATTGTTTTGAATCTTAAACACACGGTGTCAAGGTTGTAAATGTCTGGTATATCTAATGAGTCCACTGAGCAGACTGGAGAACGAGGCGGTGATAAGTTCTATTTCTTATCAAGAGAATCGTCATTTTTACATTAGTTTTGAGGTTTTCACTTTTTAAAAGCTCCCGACATCTATTTTCCTACTTGAACGAAATAATCCACTAGGTTCAGCAAGGCAGGTGTCTTAGCTGTTTTAAAGGTGAGGAAGCAAGGCATCATGAAGGTGTTGTGGGCAACGTCGCATAGCTTGAAATAGCCCGTGGTCAAGGGAGTGGAAGCCGGGACTCAGTCAGGGTTTGCATCCTGGCACTGCCACAAGGTGTGCGCCACGGCTCAAGAGGCTGCCTTCCCCGAGTCTTTGCTTTCTTATCTATAAAAGGGGGATGGTGGTCATGCAGGACTCATAACGTAGACGTTGAAATAAGACGATGTGTGTGAAATGTTTCACCAGGGGCTTGGCACAATCTATGCTCAGAAGTGTTTATTGTCATTAAGTGGTAAGTCCGGGACACAACCCCAACTTCTCTGCATTGAAGCCTGGTGTGTTTCCTGCACAGGCCAGAAGCCCACAGGAAGTTCAATGGAACCAACAGGCACCTGCCTATGGATCTAGGGAACAGTACACACACCACCTACACGTTCCGATATCAAGTTGATTTGTCAAATGTGTTCTGAACATCAAGTGTGCGCAAGGTTGATAGGTCGTCAGGGAGATATGGGTAACTTTCTCAGCAAATCGTTCATTCATTCGCGTTAACCTAGCACCTCCTTGGTGTAAAGCACCTTTTAGGTGCTGGAGACACAGAAGCCATAAGACAGGCAGACCCTGGCCTCAAGGAGACACAGCCAACCAACCGGAGAGCAAATCGACCATTTGATTCCTGACAAAGAAGCATCCTGTCTGTGATCAGAAAAGGTCAGGCAATGCATCCGTGTTTCGCACCAAGATCTTCACACACGCGCTTATGTGACCCCCGTGGGCGCACTCGGAGCCGGACATCCGTTGACAAATGACTTCATGCTGCGAAGGCCTGGCCCCGGCCCGGGGCAGCGCTGCTGGCCGCACCGCAGGGGCGCTCCCGTCCCCCGGGGTGGGGGCAGGTCTGAGGACGAGAATCAGAGGCAAGGTGGCTGCTTTGCTTTTAAGCCTCACATTGATCCGCGCCTTCTGGGCAGAGAACAGAAGCGGGAGCCATGGTCCCCCAGACTCGCTCAGCAGGAGGGCAAGAGCTCAGGGAGAGAGAGGAGAAGGGGGGGCAGGTGAGGGGGAGGCAGCGAGGAAGAGGGGGCTGGGCCCTTTCCCACTTTTTGCTTATTATGAACAGCGCTGCTGTGAACAGTCAAGTTTTTCTGCGAACATGTGTTTTAAATTTCCTGAGTGGAAAGAGTGGATTTGCTGGGTCATACGGTGGCTCCGTTGAAGCCAAGGGTGCTCTTCAGTTAGACCCAAGAAGCTGCATCCCCCAGGCCTCACGGAGCCCGAACGAGGTGCCTGCCCGAGGCGGTTCGCAGGAACTTGGAGTCAGCTGTGTCCAGTTCGGGCGCAAGCCAGTTAAGACTGGGCGGGACCGTGGACCCTCCAACTGGGCTCAAATGTCTGACCCAGACTTTCTGACGGCGGAGGGCGGAGAGCACCTCTCAGGACAGGCGTCCCACGGAGAAGCATGCAGCTTAGTTGTACCGGCGCAGGACAAGTTTGACCTCACTTTAAAAAAAAAAAAAATCTTGTTGTGAGAAGGTAATTAGGTTTATTTATTTCTAGAGGAGGTACTGGGGATTGAACCCAGGACCTTGTGCATGCTAAGCATGCTCTACCACCCCACCTTTTCCTTATCTCCCATCACCCTTCCCCACGCTCCCCAGGCCTCAGGTTTATTCCATAAATATCCCAAGCCCCTCGCCTTCAGGGAGGTGATTTGAGGCATCCTTGCTTGGCTGCCTCCTGAGCCAGCCTTCCCTCTGCTGCAGACCTCAGCATCTCAGCGTTTGGCTTGCTGTGCGAAGAGAGGCAAAGGCACCTGGTTCGGTAACACTTGGTTTAACTTTTTCTGACAAACTGTTTTCCAAAGTGGCTGCAGCATTTTACATTCCCACCAGCAGCATATGAAGGTTCCAGTTTCTCCATGTCATTGTCAACAGCTACTGTGGTCTCCATGTTTTTAATGGAGCCATTAAAGGATTAATGGCTGTAGCCATCCTAATGCGTGTGAAGTAACATCTCATCATGGTTTTGATTTGCATTTCTCTAATGATTAATAACGTTGAGTATCTTCTTATGGGATTATTGGCCCTTTGTAAATCTTCTTTGGAGAATGTCTGTTGAAATCCTTTGCTCATTTTTTTTGACTCACTACTTGTCTTTCCGTTGTTCAATTGCAAGAGTTATTTCAATGTGCTGGGTGCTATACCCTTATCAGATATGATTTTCAAACATTTCCGCCCGTTCTACTGGCTGCCATTTCACTTTCTTGATAATGCCTTTAGAGACACAAAGGTATTTTAATTTAGTTGAAGTCCAATTTCCCTATTTTTTAATTGATTACTTATACTCTGGGCGTCATGTCTAAGATGCGTCTAATCCAAGGTTTGGAAGACTTCACGCCTATTTTTCTCCTAAGAGTTGTACAGATTGAGCTCTTGTCTTGAGGTATTTGATCCATGCTATGTTGATTTTCGTATATGGTATGAGGTTGGTGGGGTCCAGCCTCACTCTCTTGTACGTGGATATTCAGTTGCCCAGCATCATTTGTGGAAAAGGATGTTTGTTCCCAGTGAAATCTCTTGGCGCTTTTTTTGAAAACCAGTTAACATACAGGTAAGGGTTTATTTCTGGACTCTTTTTTTTCCCCATCATGATTAGAGAACATACTTTCCATGATTTTAGTCTTTATTAAGACTGTTTTATGGTCTAACATAAATCTGCCCTGGAGAAAGCTCCACATGGTACTTGAAGACTTTGTATTCCGCTGCTGTTACGTGATATCCAGGTGTCCGTCAAGTCTGGTTCGCTTCTAAGGCTGCTCAAGTCTTGTAGTCCCCTGCTTGCCACCTGTCAAGTTGCTCCTTCTATCACATTGGAAGGTGGATGTTGAAGCCTCCATTATTGTTGAATTGCCTATTTCTTTCAAATTCTATCAGCTTTGCTTCATGTATTTTGGGACTCCGTTGTTAGGTGAATATAAATTTTTATAATTATTGTAATTTCTGGGTGGATGAACTCTTTTATTGTTCTAGAATGTCCCTAGCAATACTTTTTATCTCACATTTGCCTGATTTTTCTAACAGTGTGCATTTTGAGAAAACATTAAACATGCTCCAACCATAGCAAAAACCAGAATACAAAAATTACGCTTTTGTTGTTTTGGAGGGTGTTCATTACTTTTTCCACTAATGTACGTTTGTACTAGGGAATATCCTATTTTAAAAAGGTAAAGCTTATATCGCCCTCTGGTGGACAGCCATGTACATGGCACCTCCTCTGTAGCTAGGAAACCGGAAGCAGCCACCCTTGCCCGCACCGGTGGAACCAGGAGCTAGAATCCTAGAAGGCACCG